TTGAGATCTCAAAAGCGTACTCATCGGCCTCTAGTGGATTTGGGAAAACTGCAAAAAAAAAACATACCTCCTGGGATGTATTTGGCGCTCTCCAGAAATATATATATAGTGGTACATTTTCAGAATGAGGCTGGGTTGCAAAATCTCAATAATTTTATTTCATTTTAAATAAATAGTTTGAACAAGCAGAAAAAAATATTTTTGAGCGTAATATAGGTTTAAAAGAAAACTGATATTTCAAAAGAAAAGTTTTTTGATGGAGAAATCTTTTGCTACTCTGAAAATGTATGATTTTTTTTGCCACACAGACAAAGTTATGAAACCCATTCTAGGCATATATATTTTTAAAGTCTAACTGAAACCAAAGAGAACATTTCACACTAATGTGCACTTCAGATAAAGCTATTACAAACTACAACGTCTCAAAAAAACCAAGCAATAATATATGACACAAAAATAAGACTGCTTATCGTACTACAGAAATAAGAATGACTACATTTCGTACAGGAATAACAACGCAATCAGTGCATTAGAATAATCCTTTTATTTACTTTCCTTGGCGATGATGTAATGATGGCGTAATGATGACGTATTTATTTATAGCCCTGTAAGGCTTAAAAAAATTAAGTTTTTGAATGAAGATAAGAGTTTGATCAAAGGTTTACAAGAACTGAAAGGCTACATTGCTTTACATTTTCTTTGTGAATTTCCGACTAACAACTGAACAAAGACTGGACTAATCCAAAATCCGAACACACTGTAAACAATTTTACATTAGTAAAACACTGGCGATTAAAGCCTATTGTAATGTTGAAACAACAACAGCAAACATTTTTGCACAAACAACATGAATAATTCTAAAGACAAAAGATCGAATTGAAATAATCACAGCTTTTGCGATTTGAAAACTGCAATCTTTCAAACAGCGATTTCGTTATAGAAATGATTAATTAGCCAGGCATAGTTTATATCTCTCTTAAATCTACCTATATCTATGACTGCATGATATTTTAAACTCTCTATTTTAAACCATCAGAAGAAATAAGTGAAAATTAACAGTTTTTCTGCCAGTGGGGCAAGTGAAATAATCTTGTTTTCTACTTGAAATGTAGATATTTGGACTAGAAACAAGACAAAAATTTTAAGTAAGAAATGTTTGTTGTTTTGCATAAATCATATAAATTTCATATAAATACAGTGCTCAAAAACTACAATAAAGTGCTTTGATTCAGGCTCAACACTGCACATCTTTGCAATGTGACTTTAGCAGATGCTCACAAAGCAATATTGATCCTAAAATGATATATTGTGCTGGCCTACTTCAAAATCTTCCTCCATACATGTGTATTATTATTTCCTAATACATTTAATATAAAATAGCATTATCATCATGCGCAACTGACAGTGTGCAAATGTCTTCATACTACTCACCATTAGGCATGGTACGATAACCATTTTCAAGGTATACCGCAGTTTGGAAAAGTCAAGGATTTTCAAAATATTTTAAATGTTTTTTTTAGGTTTTGTTTAAATTATTATTTTTTTTTACCCAGACATTTAAAAAGAATATGTTTTAGATCAGTAATCAAAATACTGTAATACTGTGAAACCGTGATATTTTTATCCAAGGTTATCATACCGTTAGAATCTTATACCAGCGCATGACTACACACCATATTGCATTTTCAGCCCTGAAGAACTTTCATCAAACAGCAGGCTGTCTAGACGATTTTAAGCAGGGGGGAAAATATCATTTGTAATATTTGTGTATGATGGCGGGGGATTATCCATCTGAGGGTTGTGTGATGGACTGGTAAAGGTCCTGAGCTGATTTTTAATTTAGAACTGTTGTGATCATGCAGTTGACATTGAGATATAATCAAACCATGCAAATGTACATGAATTTCTAATATAAAAAAGTGCCTACATTTTATTCTGGCTTTGTTGAAATGAAAAAAAGGTGCATTCATATGTTGATGAGAAGGGAAAAACACTTATGTGAGTAACTATGGCTGTGCTTTCAAGTGCATACAAACAGGTTTTTGTGTACGCAGTGAAGTACACTTATTGTATTGTTATAAGAAAGGTGGCTGTTTAAAATGGTAATTTTTAAAAATAAATTTGAATGCACAGGATATGAAAGTAATTAGTACTGAATAATGCATGTAAACACCACACACCCCTTTGTGTATTTAACATCCTTCATGTCTCCGGGATCATTCGGAAAAGCCTACAGTGTAGTGCTTTTCTCAGATTTACTGTACAATAGTGTTTGAGAAGTGACTGATGCAAAAACGCATGATTTGTTCTTGTGTTTTGCGTTCATATATGCACTCAGTCTCTATATTTATGTAGATTTATATGTAAATAGTTTCTTTAAGCAAGTATATCGGTGTATGTGTGAATGTTTACCAGGGGCGTTAAAGTGTGTTGCATAAATGTTTTTAAAATAAGGTTTCGCTGTGAGCGTGTGTGAGCGTGTTTTTGAGAGATGAAAGCAAAAGCAAAGGTAAATTAGACGGGCTTTTTTGTGATCATTTTCCCACAGGGTGGTTTCATCTGCTGAGGGAGCCGTTTACTTCTCTCACTTCACGCTGCGCTTTATGGTTTAATGTGAAGTTAAAAAATTATTTGTTACAATATTTACTTTCATTATGATGGTGCTGGCAGAATAGCTTCCTATAAATATTGAATTTAACACACGAAATCGCTTTTATCTGTACAAATATCTGTGGTTGTACTGGTTTTTCTTTTTTTGCAGATATTCAGCCTAATCCAAGATCCACAATCTGATTTTAGGGACAGTGATAATTATCAAGGATTGTCCTGATGGAAGGTTTTCCATGCCCTGATCCAATCTTTCATTTAAAATTTAGTATCTGTTGATACCTGTCCTGTCAGATAAATGTCTATAAAAGTGCACTCGCATTATTATTAATTATTATTATTATTAAAACCATCCCACTATACATAACTCTGTGGCGAGCCATTTTAACAATTAATCTAAAAACATTTCTAATTTGAACTATAATATTCTATACTATTTAAATATTATTTAAGCTAGTATCTTTTTTTTTCTTTCTTCTTTATATTGAAACATCTGTTTATATTTTTCAGAACAGCTGACCACGGTTATGGAACCAGAAAAATATCATTCTGTAAACATGTTTTGTACTTTAAATGAGGAAAATAAACATGCATTATGGATGTGACCAAAAAAGTATGCGAGTTTGCAGTATACAACATACTTTGTAGAAATTCTGTGAAATAAACTGCACAACCCAAAATAAATCATAATAATCAAAAGTATGAAAGATGGCTCGCTATAGAACAGAAATTATTACTTATTTTTTATATACTTAAATTTTAAGGCAAGATTGACATTGGCATGGAAATGTTTTTTTAATAGTATAACACTGTATGTACAAGTATCTAAATAAATGAGATCTAAAAAATGAAGTGTAAAGTAGAGATGAACTTTAAAAGCAATCGCTGAACTAGTACTGCCCTCTTTTATTAATACTGATATACGAGACATGTTTCATTTGCACTATGGCTAAAATAAACAGAAGTCTTTTTTGAACTCTTTCTTGATCAGTTAATAAACATTCTTTCAACATAACACTATCCGGTCCGTATCCAGTTTATTAAAAGGGGTGGTTATTTTTTTCTGAAAACTGAACATTTTTGCAGTTATTCGCATGATTTTCTATGTAATTATGAGGTATAAATATAGCATTTTAGCGACATTTTGGAACTCATTTTTGCTGGATTAACTTGTCGGATAGTTATCATAACCGCACTTTCTGACATACAAAGAAATATTTCCTACCATTTTGTTACATTACTTACCATACTATATTGCTACTACTATTAACTGTTTATTTACAAATGTGAATTTAAACTGTAAGTTTTATTTTAGTTTTATAAATAATGAAAATTTAGAATAATGAAATATGAAAATATCCATATTTTAAAGTACATTTTTCTTATCATCTATCATTACTTTTTTAAATCTGTTAAAACTTTTAATTAAATTAAAAACTGAAACCTATAGGCAAATAACAAACTGGCCAGCTTATTTAACTTTCCATATATACAGTTGAAGTCAGAGTTATTTGCCCCTTTTGAATTATTTTCTTCTTTTTAAAATATTTTCCAAATGATAATTAACAGAGCAAGGACATTTTCACAGTATGTCTGATAATATTTTTTCTACTGGAAAACAGTCTTATTTGTTTTATTTTGGCCAGAATAAAAGCAGATTTTAATTTTTAAACACAATATTAAGGACAATATTATTAGCCCCTTTAAGCTATATTTTTCTCTCGATTGTCTACAGAACAAACCATCATTATACAATAACTTGCCTAATTACTCTAACCTGCCTAAATAACCTAATTAACCTCGTTATTCCTTTAAATGTCACTTAAGCTGTATAGAAGTGTCTTGAAAAATATTTAGTCAAATATTATTTACTGTCATCATGGGAAAGATAAAATATATCAGTTGTTAGAAATGAGTTTTTAAAACTATTAAGTTTAGAAATGTGTTGAAAAAAATCCTCTATTGTACAGAAATTTTCAAAAATATACTAAATAAATATATTTCTCTTATTACTCAGCTCAGTTTTGTGCAAGATTATAGCAAACTAGCATAGTTCTCTAACATCTAAATCTCTGCCATGTTGAAGCAATATTACAATTGATGGGATTAAGTTCAGACAGAAACCATAATCGTATTAAAATAACGTTATGTGACGTGCAGATTTTAATCGCCATAAAGAGGCATGCAAACACCTTTGCTGCATTATTACCAATCTCTGGATGCTCAAACATGTACATAATCTCATTAAAACCGTGACACTGTTTTTAAGTTTTATTGATATTCAGTGGCATGATGAAAAGGGGCGCGACGAAAACGATACAGCAAATCAAGCTACACGCTTGCTGTCCATAACAGTGCCAGTGTTTTAATAAATTGCCTTTTGCGTGACTTACCTCAAAGAATACACTGTATTCTGAAGTGTTACACTTTCAGGTGCCAACTTAGGTAGTACTGAACGAAGTTCTTCTGCCGCCACATAGCAAAATCCTCACACGTCACAACACGTTGCTGTTTGCTTTTATTTTTTCACACAGCCGCGATTCACTGTCAGAAACTGCGCATGCGTAACAGCTGATGTAAATAAAGCATTCGTACAGCTGTTTTGATCGGCACTTGTATTAGTGAGACAGATATTCAAAAGTAATGGACAACTTTTTAGTTATTGTGAATTTTTCAATTATTACAGGATTCCCTAAACTGCTAAAGAATTTGCAATAGTTTTTGATGCAATTCGACCTTTTCAACTATCTTTTAATATGTCTTTTGAATCCAATATTTTATATTCTAATCAATTATCAATAGTGTGAAATTTATAGACAATAAATATAATAACTTTACATTTAAAAGTTATGCAGAACCACATTGTTGCCTAAATGCAAACCTTTTTGGAACTCCTTATTTGAGCAGATAAATGACAGTAAATACTGTCTCACCAATAAAGGTAAAGAAGTGACATATAAACTAATTCATTTAATTTATCCAGTGAAACAAGTTGCTAATTTTTTTAGAGACATGGAATTTGTGTGCACTTTTTGTGAATTAGAAAAGGAATCGATAAAACACCTGTTTTTTGAATGCGCATAAATCCAAATGTTTTGGTCTGATGCTGAATATGTTATATTTAACTTATAAATTTACAAATTCAGTTTTCTTGTATATTTTTGATATATACTGTATGTATATATATATATATATATATATATATATATATATATATATATATATATATATATATATATATATAAAACTTTGGAGCAAAAAGTGCTTATTAATTTAATGATTATATATGGGAAGTACCATACATAACAAAAATGGTCTAATGACAAGCCTAACATTTATTTGTTTAGAATTGATCTTAAGCATTATATCGAGACCCTAAAATACAATAAAAAAAAAGCTATAAGGATGTATGCAATTTTGGAATCATTTTCTAATGCAAATTTTTTGTAATTTTTTTTCCCATGTAATTTTATTACATTTCTTTGTTTTTTATTCTCTATTGATTTGTTTCTTTGATGTGAAAAAAAATAAGCATTGTATTCCCCATTTTTTGGATGCTATTGTTCTTGTTGTTAAAAAAAAATGAAAAATTAATCGGCAGATATTAGAGCTGGAAGTATCATCTTTTAATCATCTCCTTTCACATGGGGTCAACCCAATGTTTTAATAAATTATCTTTTTAAAAATTCTAATACTGTGTGTGTGTGTGTGTGTGTGTGTGTGTGTGTGTGTGTGTGTGTGTGTGTGTGTGTGTGTGTGTGTGTGTGTGTGTGTGTGTGTGTGTGTGTGTGTGTGTGTGTGTGTGTGTGCGTTAGTATTTTAGTGCTATTTGTAACAATGTTTTTTTTTTTTTCTCAAACCCAGTACTGGCCTAAGAAGTGACCCACACAAAAACTCCTAGTTAGTCAGCCATATTAATAGATAACTAAAACAGTGGACACATTTTGTTGTTTAGTTTTTTGTTATATTTTAAAATAACCATATTGCTCTTTATTGCAGTTTTACAGTAATTATATGTGCAATAATTTATATTATGTCACTTTAATTATGATTGGTTATTTAACAAACCTAATTTGTTTCTGCGCCTGAAAAAATATGTCTCTGATTAGATTCTATAATTGCATAGTTGTATATTTAAATAAATAAATATTGCTACTTAAGTAAACTACTTGAAATCAAATGTAGCTTGCTGCAAATACCCTGAAATTGTCCACGGCACAGTTCTTTCATACCAAATATTTATATATTTATCTTCAAAATCCTTGTTCTAATTCTACAATTTTCAGCCCTTCAGGATAACGCCTTCATCAAATTGAAGACAAGATTGCTCTCAACTTGGCCAAGTGTTTATGTTATCAACCACCTCAGTCCACCATCTGCTGGGATGCCAGCCACACATCCCCCATAATTCCCTGTGCAGATGTGGCCATAAGGAGCGAGCTCATCCCAATCTCTCCATGTAATCCCTCCACAGCCCATTCATACTGTACCATAGAGAAGGTTGCGCAATCACCCATAGACACAGCTATCATCAGTTTGGTTCCTTTCTTTTATTGAGGTCAATAGCGAAGCATGTTCACACACAGTATACAATCCCACTGCATGGAACGGCTCATCATGTCAGGAGGATTAAATTGCACATTGTCAAATCAAGTGAAAACAAGCACAGATAACAATAATACATTCGAAACAGCTCCCATTAATGCTTTTCCCTTTTTGCCAGTAACACTCACTCCTCTTAATCGAAATTCCAGCGGCGTTCTGCTCACACATCATTTGTTGAAGAAAATGTACGGTTTGAGAGTCATGCATATTTCCTGGCACACTAATAACCCCAAAGTCAGGAATGACATTTAATGTTTGAAAGATAAGAGGTGGACACAGATTGAAACTGATGACTGACTGACCGCACACTGTCACCTTTCACTTTGAAAAGTGGATTTTTTCTTTGCGGAATCTGCATGAGGAGCATTTTTTATTGAAAGTTTGTGCTTTATCTTGCTGTGCTGGAAGCTCTTCGCTCATTAAAACGCTGTTTGATGTTACATTTAAATTAGGATGCCCTCCGAATTTCATTTGATTCAGTATGACTAACTGATTTGGTATTTACGAAATTCACTCTTAATGTTTAAACATTTGGCACCTTGTATAAATATTATAGACACATTTTTTTCACATGAAATTTCAAGTGTAAGGCAGAATATTTAAAATAATATTCACAAAAAATGTGAAGCATATACAGGTCAACATATACACAAGAGACCCACATAATTGTACAAAATGTCTTCAATAAATAGTCATGGATCATAAACCGTCCATATATGCATAAGGATTTAAAATGTACTCAGTTAAATTGTCAGTAAAAATTGCAAGTTATATCTTTCTTGAAGGGTTAGTTCAGCCCAAAATGAAAACTCTGTCATTGTTTACTCTTCCTCAAGTCATTCCGCATCCATAGGATTTTTGTTAATCTTCGGAACAGACGCAATGTACATACTGCAGCTAAATTGGGTTGTCAGTTTCCATTTCCGTTCTTAATCCTTTTCTGTACACAAACAGTTCAGTGATTTACAGGAGAGACAACCACATGCAAAAACAGATTAAAAAAACTGCATTCACAAAAACCCCAGACCTTGTATGGAATCAAACGTAACTAGTTGTTAATTTAAAAGCTTATTAGAGTTGTGTCTTTCTTTTGTCTGTGCAATGCAAAAAAAAAATCACAAGGAATAATGTATGTTTTCACTTACTAGTGTTGTCAGATATTGCTAGGAAAAAATAGCAAATAAGAATAAGCCCACATACACTTTTTTTGTTATAAATAAGTCACATATACCTGGGGTTCACCATTGTCAATAGCCCCTTTCACACATACAGACCTTTCTAGAAAATTACCAGCAATTTTCCGTAAAGGTCTGTATGTGTGAACAGGCCCTTTTTGAAAAAAACAGTAAATTAGTTCCAGCTATTTTCCAGAAAGAGAAGTTGTGGCATTACCGGTAATTTGCAGAGATGCTGCGCTGTGTGAACGCAGAAGATTGACAAAAAGAGCGTGTTCACGTCTAGAATGCACTGACGTGAAACATCTACTTTAGCCAATCAGAACACTCAGACACATTCACATCTGCACGGTTTATGAGAATAAAAGCCTTTGAATATTTTTCCAGACACATTTAGCTTCTAGATGTTAGTCAGGGTTCGTTTCTATGTTCCTTCCTAATGCATGTGGAAAAAATATCGATAAAATGCTTATGATAAGTCGTTGTTTGTTTACCTTCATGCCCTGATTCGTGTGCACGTAAAGCAGCCAGTAAGTGCCAGTACTCGCACAAATTATGTACATCTCGACATGCGAAATTGTTCCTTCATATGTTCATCAAAGTTGTTCACAATACTGATCCATCTGCAGAGTTTGTAATGTAGCAATTTTTTTACAAATACAAGCGCAGCTGTTTAGAGGTTATTTCTGGTTAATGATGTCAGAATTTTGGAATGGATGGAATGCTCTTGGATGGCATGCTCTTTTCGGGAAAAATTCCGTATTGTCGTTGCCTGTGTGAACAGCGCATTTATGAATCTACTGGTAAAGTCAATCTGGACATTTTGCAGACAATGTTGCTTTCATGATCCCGCGTTTCTTGTTAAAGCACATAAATCGATTATTGTCATTGTGTCACCACGCTATTCACATTTCTTCTAGAGTTTTACGTCATTTCAGGTGTTTCAATTTTAATTAGTCGACTTTAAGTGCAGTTTGACACTTTCACTTTCTTTCAGGAACATTTCATGCCCCCATTACAACCTAGACATTAGAAGAGTTTTGTTTTAATGGAATTTTATACCGCATGCAGAATGGGAAAAAACCTTCGCATTTTGTGATGCAGGTATCTGTGGTCCTTCACTGACTCGGTAAGTGCAAAAAAATAGTGTCAAACTGCTGTGTGTGTGTGTAGACTATCCTGTTGCAAAATGCAGGAAAAATACTACATGACGGTAATAGTACTGAACTTTCATAATGCGACTAAAATCAGCATACAGCACATGTCCTAATTCCATTTCTGTTTAGCTCGTTATGACCTAAATCAGATTAAATTAATCAAAAATCGCTGTTTACATGGTCGAATCTAAATCAGAGTATTGTCTTAATCGTATTAAAATCTGATTATTGGTGTCCATGTAAACATACTCACTGATACCAATATCAGAAGTGATTTGTGTTCCATTCACAAACTGGGCATTCACTCTTATATTGAAATGTGGTTGTCACTTCTGAAACTTTTATTTGTGTTTGTATTTGTGGTATTTTTAATGCTATTTGTTTCATTAAACCTGATCCTTCATTGAAAGGCTCGCAAAAAGCTCTGATGCTTCAAAACATTCAATTAGAGATAAAAAAAAAAGTGTCATGTGACATGTAAGAAAGAACCGCACGCATCAATCAGGAGTACCTGAGCTTCTATGGCCATTGTTGAATGCTTTGTTAAATGATCAATGTTTGTATGAAGAAAAGACTAAATAAAATCTGTTTATCATGTTACGTGACTCTGTCTCTTCAGAAGACTTCTATTAGGGATCAAACTGGATTAGAGTGTTTGATTCAAATGGATTTATTTTTTAATCTCTATATGAAGCATTAGAGTTTTGTGTGAACAGACTTTCAATGCAGGGGAAAAAAAAACTTTCATATTTTATTAAAACAAATACCTTCATGTACACTCTTGAAAATGAAAGTTACAAAACAGGTTTTTGTAGTAATGTTATACAAGAACTATTTTTGGTTTTCCGAAAAATGTTCCAGTCAATAGTTCTTTAAAACAGTGTTTCCCAATCCTGTTCCTAGAGGCACACATATGTTGGATATCTTTCTTATCCGACCCATTCATTTAAGGTTTTCTCTTTTACTGATCTGATGATTTCATTTAGGTGTGTTTGTTGAGGAAAAGATTAAAAATGTGTACTATCGGTGTGCCTTCAGGAACAGGGTTGAAAAAACACAACAAAAGTTTTTTTTTTTTTTTTTTGAATGAGAGGTATTGTAATATTTGATGTAACTAAAATTTAAAGGAATAGTTGGACCAAAGATTTAAAATGTTGTTATTTGTTCTGTTGAACACAATGAAAAACATATTTTGAAGAATGTTTAAACCTGTAACCATTAGCCCTTTCAAACAGAGATACTGGTAAATATCCAGAAAATTTCTAGAACAAGTTTGACGGTATATTGAAAAAAAGGGCTGTTTACACAGACAAGGACGTTCCAAAATTTTTCCGGAAAAGACCATTCAAACATTCATTCCAAAATACCAGTAAATTCTCACATCATTATCCAGAAATGAGCTCTAAACAGCTGTGTTTGTATTTGTAAACATAGATAGGGTGGGCGTTTTAGTTGAGGGTTTCGCTTTTATTTAACACTTTAGCATTCATGCAGCTGCTTTGTCCCAGATACATCCCAAGGCAGAAGCGAGAACCGCAGCTAAATGTTTACACACTTGACTACATTACATATTCTTGCGGATGTATAAGTATTGTGAACAACTTCGATGTAAACATTTTTGTATGTCGAGATGTACATAATATGTGTGCATGCTGGCGCTCACCAGCTCTTCATTTGCACACGCGTCAAGCAACTGAAGCAGAGCTTGAAGGTAAACAAACAGCGGTTTATCATTAGCATTTTATTAATATATATATATTTTTGCACAATTGGCATTAAGAAGGAACATAGAAACATGGGTCTGGTAAAATATTCAAAGGCTTTTATTTTCATAAGCATGAATGTTCTGGTTGGTTGAAGTAGACGTCTCACGCCTCGTGAACGCACTCTTTCTGGCAATTTTCCTTCTGCGTTCACACAGAGCAGCATTTCGGCAAATTACCGGTAATGTTACAAGGTCTCTTTCTGGAAAATTGCCAGAATAAATTTGCCGATATTTTCAAAAAGGGTCTCTTCACACATGATCCCTTTCTGGAAAATTTCTGGCAATTTTCCAGAAAGATCTGTATGTGTGAAAGGGGCTATTGACTTAAACAGTAGCAAAAGGCAAAACCATGGAAGTCAGGGATTACAGGTTCCCAACATTCTTCAAAATATGTTTTTTTTTATAACAAAAAGAAAAAACTCACGGGTAAGTAAATGATGGCAGAGTTTTCATTTTTGGGTGAACTATTCCTTAAATAGTGTCTGTTCCAAAGATAAAAATTTTCATATGAATTTGCGAACACATGAGGGTGAGAAAACAATAGCAGAATTTGAATGTTGAGATGTGTTTTTTTTGTAAATGAATCACAACATCAAACACGAACAAGCACCCTGAGTTGTGTGCAATGGTTTTGTAGCATTAAAAAAGTCAAAATTCCCCAGTGTATAAACTAGCTTCATGCACCCATTATGATTCTTTTACATAGTAATCAGCTGAAAAACAAAAGTCACTCATTATTATTGATGGCCGGTGAGGGTTTGCTCCTCATCCCGTCAGTGGCAGCCCTGGAGGTCTCAGTCACAAACCTCCGAGGAATCCACACCGCCGTCATGATCCGAACATACTCCTTCCGGAAGTTCCTGTTCAGGAGGCCATAAATGATAGCATTGAGGCAGCTGTTAAAATAAGCCATAAAGTAGCTTACGACAAACAACCATTCTGGAACACGTGGAGCCATGACCTCTGGATTGATGGCCACCACCAAACCGATGAGATTGAGCGGGGCCCAGCAGATGGCAAACAAAACAAACACCACGAACATGGTGACAAAGTTGCGCAGGTCGCTGGGCCTGACCCTCGAACGTTCCTCGCTTTTCACCTTCCTCCTCACCTGGATCACCAGAACCCAAATCCGCAGGTAGCAGAAGGTCACCACAGCGATGGGCACTAGAAAGTGAACCACTACCACCACCACAGTGTAGGAGCTGCTGGCAGTCTGTGTGAACGTGCAGGAGTAAACTCGAGGGTCGTAACTCAGCGAACCCACAAAGAAATTGGGCAGAATTGCAAGTACGGTAAGCGCCCAGATCAGAGCCACGAGCAGCAGTGTGTTTCGGAAGCTGTACAGACGTCCGTAGGCAAAGCTGTGGCAGATGTAGCAGTAGCGGTTAATGGCGATGCCTGTGATGTTGAATACAGAGCCGATCACACTCAGGCCCATTAGGAAGCCGCTGATTTTACACTGCGTTTCCCCCAGAGACCAGCCATCGTGGAAGATGGCGTACAGCACCAGCGGGTATGGATAGAAAGCCACCACCAGGTCAGCGAAGGCCAGACTGACCACAAACACGTTGCCTGGGAGAAAAAGAGCAAGAGAAAGATGACTTGTTAATAATTTGACAGTTGCCAGTACAGGTTGATGTCATGGACAAATTAAAAAGAGATATTTTCATGCAAATAAAAGTATATAAATTTACACAATGGTAAGACTTTTTATATTTTATTTCTTATATATTTCATTCTGTTTTGTGTTATGTCAAAAATAAATAATAAGAGAAACTATATATATATATATATATCTTTCTTATTTTTTCTTATTTGTTTTATTTCGGCTAGAATAAAAACCGTTTTTTAATTAAAAAATACATAAAAATAAGGTCAAAATTATTAACCCCCTACTGTAATTTTTTTAGAAAGTCTACAGAACAAACCATCATTATACAATAACTTGCCCAATTACTCTAATCTGCCTAGTTAACCTAATTAACCTAGTCAAGCCTTGAACTGTCACATTAAGCTGTATAGAAGTGTCTTGAAATATATCTAGTAAAATGGTATTTACTACATAAATAAAATAAAATATATCAGTTATAAGAAATGAGTTATTAAAACTATTATGTTTAGGAATGTGTTGAAAAAAATCTCTCTGTTAAAGATAAATTGGGAAAAAAATAAACAGGGGGGGGGGCTAATAATTTAGACTTTAATAATATATGTATATATAAATATTTATTTATACAACAGTTCTGTCTGGTTCTTAAATCTGATTGGCTGATAGCTGGGCAATATTCTGCAAATAACAGCACTCGTCCAGCCTCTTAACCCTTCACGGTTGTGTTTTACTCGGCCCACATACACCGACAAGCAGAGGACACTCTACAATTTGACAAATATTGCTGGTGTTGGACAACATAATGTACGTTTGAGGCTTTTTTTAGTCAAGAATGTAGTTGTTTAAATTGCAACTATGTTTTTTATTTACAAGGATAATGCCTATTTTAAAATATTTGTAATTTCGGAGGATAAGATTCAGTGCACCAGCCGCCATCAACCTGTCTTAGCAGACCAAAGAAAATGACGATCGATGTTCCACCACAAGATGGCAACAGGGACCCATAATAAGTCCTTAAGGGAGAAAAGCCTTTTCTCAGCGTAAGTTTTAAACTACAGCTGAACAACACATTATAAATCAGGTAAGTGACATTCTAAGTCGATCTCTCTCTTTTGTATTTTGTAGTGCTGTATTTACACCACAAAAACTGTTAGTGTTTGCTTTGCTTGAGCTTTTTCAGTGTTAATTATTGTGATATCCTACATATATACTGTGACTGCTACATAGAAATACTGGGAAATCTCTGTAGATTGATGGCACTTCATGCTGTTCAGCCTCATAATCTTAAAATGCAAGCAAAAATGACCTGTTTTGTCATCACTTTAGACATTACGCAAGAGAATCATTGAAATACTAGCTCTATAATGACGTTGGTGAATAAACAATAATTTCTGCTGTTCTGACAGTCAGCTGCAGATGTGAATGAATGGCGATAGAAAGTATTTTCTTGTACAAAAAAGTTTTTGAGACTCTCCGTGTTTGATTTTTATTATATAAATGATAATGCCGTCGAACTGTTGTATCAACGTAATATGTAGCAGTGCGATATAGTTGTATACGGGGGCCTGCAGCCTTGGGCCACCAGTGTCGATATTCAGACATATATATATATATATATATATATATATATATATATATATATATATATATATATATATATATATATATATATATATACAGTTGAAGTCAAAATTATTAGCCCTCCTAATTATTAGACAGCTTGTTTATTTTTTCCAAGTTTTTTTCAATAAATTTCTAAACATAATAGTATTAATAACTCATTTCTAATAACTGATTTATATTATCTTTGCCATGATGACAGTAAATAAAATTTTACTAGATATTTTTCAAGACACTTCTATACAGCTTAAAGTGACATTTAAAGGCTTAACTAGGTTAATTAGGTTAACTAGGTAGATTAGGGTAATTAGGCAAGTTATTGTATAACAGTGGTTTGTTCTGTAGATTATCGATAAAAAAAATAGCTTAAAGAAGATAATAATTTTGTCCCTAAAATAAAACAAATAAGACAAATAAGACTTTCTCCAGAAGAAAAAATATTATCAGACATACTGGGAAAATTTCCTTGCTCTGTTAAACATCATTTGGAAAATATTTAAAAAAGAAGGAAAAAATTTGAAGGGGGCTAATAATTCTGACTTCAACTGCATATATATATATATATATATATATATATATATATATATATATATATATATATAATCATAAAAAAATTATCACAGTTCAGTTTACGCAAAAATATTTTCAATATTGATATTAATTATAATAAACATTAAATATGTACATAAACAAAGATTACGCATTTTAAACCACCTTCACATATTTAACATAAAATACCCCAATATTTTACATTTTACAACAATTTTCTTTAGCATAAAAAATTATTGAACGTTTCTATTTACCTCAATCAAAATGACTAAATATTTTAAGTTAAACTTAATATAAAAATAAGAAAGCCTAGTTTATTTATTAAAATAAGTTAAAGTAACATAAAAAACCTTGTTGTTATGACTTTTTGTCATATCATTTTTATAGTGCATGACATTTTGCTTCTTTTGTCATGGAGTCCTGATTTTTGCGCTGAAGTTGATTTTGTCCCATAAGAAACACAATTTCACTTTATCCACATCCCCTTTTTCATGCATTCCTTCCTTTCTTTGCCCCTCAAAGCCTCTGCTGTGACTTTTAAACTAAATATGGGCTAAAGTCAAATGAACGACAGCTTGAAAACCCGAGTTCAAATGAGAGAGGAAACAAAAATGAAGAATGACAAAGCTACAGAGCGCAAAAGGAAAGACAAAGAGCGAATCACATCGACTTCAAAAGCAGGATCCCCAGGGAGTGTGAAGCCTTTGATTAGACTATGACAGCAGAAAACACATCGCTCTGGAAAACAATGCTCTCTCTTCTAGCCTCTGCCCTCGCAGATTAATCTCATGCATGCATTAAAACTTGTGTTGTGTCGACCCATCCATTTGCTCACATTCTCATGGTAAACAGTCAGATGTTTACAGACAATGCGGAAACAGTTGACTGGGTCGTCTAATTAGCATAGAGTTCAGATAGCCTTTCGTTTCATATTACTGCTTGGTAAATATCTAACACTGACAAATGTATGCTTGGGTGTAATTTTCAGAAAATGATTTTCCATGGAGAATAATGAAAATAGAAGATTGTGTTTATTCACACAAACACATGCTCCTGTCAAATGCTAAAGGAGAAAAATGTCTTTTGTTTTAAATAATCAAGTGTGTTTTTAGTATTAATATGCTCATTTGCTTAATGATATCTTTTTTTATATGACAAAAGAAATCATTTTAACATAACTAACAATGTGTTTTTACTATAGTATTTATTGCAAATTACAGTATTTATGGATAATTTATTTTCTATATTGAAATAAATAATATATACAGAAATAAAAGGACATATATTTGAGTTATTATAGTTCATAAAAAATGCTCAGTTTTATTAATAGAAAATGCTAAAAGAAAAATAATAATAATTATCTCCGTTATAACAAATCTAATAATAAAAAAAAAATTTATAGTGTACAGCAGGGATGGCCAACCCTGTTCCTGGAGAGCCACCTTCCTGCAGATTTCAGTTGCTACCCATATCAAACACACCTGCACCATACATTTCAACAAATATTGCAGCTGTTGGACAACATAATGTACTTTTGAGGCTTTTTATGCAAGAATGTAGTTGTTTAAATTGCAAATAGTGCCTATTTTATTGTTCGCATAATTTCAGAGATTTAGCACGTCAGCAGTGATCAGCCTGTCATATTGAACAGAGCAAAGAAACTGTCACAAGACAGAAACAGCATAAAATGTCCTTAGGGTAGAAAAACTCAGCATTTTCTCAGTGTAAATTTCAAACTACAGCTGAACAAACAATTACAGAACAGGTTAGTGACATTCTAAGTTGATCTCTCTCTTTTGTATATTGTAGTGCTGTATTTATACCATAAACTACTAACTAATATAGTAGTGTTTGCTTTGCTTTGGGTTTTTTCTGTGTTAATTTTTTGTGAAATCCCAATTGCATCAGAAATACTGGAACATCTCTGTAGACTGGTGGCATTTTATGCCGTTCAGCCTTTTAATCTTAAAATGTGAGCAAAATCACCTGTTTTGTCAGAACTTTAGACATTACACTAGAGAATCATTCAAATACTACATCTAAAGTGACGTTGGTGAAGTAGAAAAAGTTTCTCCAGTTTAGACAGTCAGCTGCAGTCATGAATGGCAGAAGAAAGTAGTTCTCGGTCTGCGGCCTCGAGCCAATGCACGCCCTTCAAGCAGTTTCGATACAGCACTATCGCTTTGCTACTTGATATTGCTCTACTGAGTATGTGTGTATATATTCTGTTATTATTTTTATCTATCACTTTTTTTTTGTGGAAACTGGAGGAAATTTATGAACTTCCCTCTGGAATGAATAGAGTATCTGTCCATCTATAAAAGTATTTAGAAGCACAACTGTTTTAATAATAATAATAATAAATAATAACAATACTACTACTACTACTAATAATAATAATAAAATATATATTATGAGTACAAAAAAACTATTTAGTTAAAAATGTTTTTTTCTAAATCCAATATTTTTATCTAATAGCCCAATATTTTGAAAAAGCTTATCTTTTGTCATGGCAACCGGCACACATTTTGTTTCTTGTCACTTGTAAGTACATTTTAAATATGTAAAAACTTTTATAAAAAGCTATATATACCAAAAAATAAATGTAATAAAAACATTATATATATATATATATATATATATATATTTCTAACTTAATAGATTTAATAACTAGTTTCTACTAACTGATTTATTTTACCTTTGCCATGTTGACAGTAAATAATATTTTACTAGATATTTTTCAAGACACTTACATACTGCTTAAAGTGGCATTTAAAAGCTTAACTAGGGTAAT